TATATACATTTGCTAAGATAATTATACTACTAGGTTCTACTGGTTTATTGAAAGGAACAGTTAATGTTTCATTCTTTTATCAGTCTTAAATATCTATATCTGGTAATGTGAGCAACTACTTTGAATATACCAATAAGTAATACAATAATCATTGTTGATTTCTTGTCATTTGGCTTTGAAGAAAATAAAGGCAGATGTCACTTTGGGCTCCATAAATGTGTGATGGGGTCATTTCCTTGGTGTTTGCTAAGGTATCTCTAGAGAAGTAACCTGGAGGAAGTCACCTTATGCTATCCTGTATTAATGAATTCTGATCTGAAAGCAAAATAGAAACTTTGAACTCCAATAGAATTAATAGATATTGTGTGGACAGTCACGCCTCTCCATGTAACACAGATACACAGTCCCTAGTTCTCTGTTTCAATCACCACTTCTCCTGAGGTTGTGCAGCCAAATCAGAATGAAAGCTCTGAGTGCCCTCTGAAATGTTTCAAGGACCTCAGCAGAGAGGACAGCAGTACCTAAGAAGAACATTCTCTCACCTTGGGTTTTTCTCAGCTCCTCCACCAGGAAGTGGGCTTCCTCTTGAATACGGCTCTCAATGCTCCTTTTCCCCATCCCAAAATTCCGCAAGGTCATGAGGGAGAAGCGCCGAGTCTCTTTCCATATGTTCCCATTGCTAAAAATGACTCCTAAACGGGAAGAGGTAGAAAAAGGAACTCACATGTGGCATCCACACAATTAGCTAAGCTCTGCCTGAGGAACTCTTCCATTCTTTGCCTCCATCCTGCTCAACATACACACTTACCAAGGCCTTTATCAATTTTTTCAGCTATTGGGAAACTCCCTCTTCCAACAAAGTCCTCCCCATGATCAATCATGGCTTCCTTCACTGCCTCATATCCGTGTAGCACCACAGTGGGCTTCATGCCAAAATACAGGGTGAACACAGGGCCATAGACTTTTGAGAACTGGGTGTGAGAAAGCAATAAAGAGCAAAATAAAAGATCAATAATAGGAAATAGGGAGACAGATCTCTCTCAAATTGGAAGGGTATCAATAGATGGAGAGAAGAAAGACGTAGTGGAAAAAGGGCTGAAAAAAGGAATTGAGGTGGATTAAGTACATGTACCAACTTCTCACAAAAATGTAAACATTATGTGCTGCAAACATGTGCTAATAAAAAAGAAAATGCAAATATTATTGAAACAAGTCACTATTTGATCTACAAATTTTGATTGCTTCAGATGGCTACTCAAATTATACATGCTATATTTTTATTCTGCTATGGTTCACTTCAATGATTTCAGAATTTTGTTCACAAATAAAATGATACTAATCATGGCATCTATTGATGGATTCACTATTCTATGACTTTACTATCACATAAGCATTTCTTGATATCAGACATAATTTGCTTCTTCATAGAAACTTAATTTTCACGGGTATTCTGAACAAAACCTACAGGTCAGTGATGGCAAACCTGTGCCCAGACTGCAACCCAAGACCCACTTACTTATCACAAAGTGCCAACACCGTAGTTAAACCCAAACACTGAGATTTTAGTACAGAATAAATATCACATATAATCTGTGACATCATTGCAGAGTTGGCTCTGCATGCCCGCTGTGGCACACATGCCATAGGTTCAACATCGAGGCTACAGGTCATGCTACAGATAACTTCTTGAGGAGCATCTCTTATCACAAAAATACTAATTATAGTTTAACTTCAGGAAAAAAAATAAACAACCACAACAAATGACTATGAAACAAGGAAGGGCTGGAAAACTACAATTTTTGCCATTTATTATTTTTACTGTAACATAACAATTTAAATGTTTCCCTAACTGCACCATCTTATCCCACTATTGTAACAATGACAAACTTTGAAAAGCAAGAGAAGATCAAACTTCATAAAAAATACTTGCTGCATAATAATCTCTTCTAATAATCTGATCTAGAAATATACTTAATTTAAATATAAGAATTAATTTTCTTCCCATTTGCAAGTAACTAGTGAATGCTAAAACATACTTACATTCGTTAAGGACTTGGTGATATTTTTAACATCTATCTGCAGGATGTTTCCAATAATTGGGAGAGGAGTGGGGCCAGGAGGGAGCTTCCCTCTCCCAGAGCTCTGTCTCCAGAGCGAAAGGAGAAGCAGACAGAAGAGACAAAGCACCAGGACTGCCACTGCATCCATTGAAGCTTCTGTTCTTACTGAGTCAACTATGATCCAAGGCTTTTATATGCTCACTGTTACTGTACTGTGTCCTTTAGTCATTTAAAGGATGAATAACCCAGAATGAACTGCAAACACTTCTTAGATTGTACTTTGGCCACTTGATAAAGAAAATGTGTTCTTTACTCTTGCTATCCCTGTCAAATCCTTATCGTTGTTCTAGCTCAGTCATTCTGGGTAAATATAGAAACTATTCATTAAAAATACAAGTAATTAAGTGTCATGGCCCACATGCTTCTAGATGGTCCTGGGAAAAAATGGATAGGGGATGAAGAAAATAAGAGAAGAGACAAAGTTGAAGCCAGGTGGAGGTCCTCTCTCTCCTCATGGGAGGAGAAGAATTTAACAACAATGGTAGTGGTGTTTATTTATAATTTTAACAAGGTTTATATCACCAGACACAGGGTTGCCTAGTGACTAATAACTGTAATTCTCTCAGGCAGCGTGCTTTTCTCAGGACCAAAATATTTCTAGCCTCATCAGCTCCTACAGTAAACTGCAGGTGGTACCAATGCACAGCTAAGATTAAGAACACACAAATAAAATTATTTAATGTATTTATGGTTTTGTCTCATTATGTAGTTACGGCTGGCCTTGAAATCACTATGCAGTCCAGGCTGTCCTCAGAATTGCAGTGATCCCCCTGCATCAGCCTCCTGAGTGCTGAGATTGCAGGCATTTGCCACCACACCAGGCTAAAAGTAACTTGATATAAAACATTGGTTAATATTATGGATTCTCACACAAATGACTAATGGATATCCAGGACCTTTGGGGAATCAATATATTCCAAGATTTGCATACAATATATTTAACTTGTATTACTTAATCAAGCACTAGGGTAGCTTGTCTTGGAAAATAGCAATGTTCTAAATATTTGAAAGGACCAAAGCAATATAACTATCAGGATATAAAGTAGCCAGCATTTATTCTACATTTTGAGAACCAATCTTAATTAACAAACAAAATGAACACACATAACTTCCATAGCTAAAACACTGACTGAGGAAGAAAACTGATTTTTATTTGTTAAATGGGGAAATAGGACATGAAGGGAGAACAGGAAAATATGTCACACAGATCATGAATGATAACACTTGGATTAGAACGAACTTTACTGGAGCTCTTTGTAGTAAATGGTAGCTGCCACCACATGTCTCTCAAAAGTCATGTTAACAAATAAAATAAAATAAAATCCTAAAACATTTACTCTGAATGTATACCTCATTGATTCTGTTCATAAGGTATCCGCCTTTCCATTAAATTAACATCTTTATTTCATCCCAAGGACATCTGTCCTGTAGATTCTACAAAAGAAAGATAAACAGATAAAGTTTTTACCTCTTCATCAATAAGAGGCAAAATGTGCTCATCAGAACCAAGGAAAGAGCCTAACTCAGAAAACTACATAGGAAGGGTTTGAGAAACTTGGCTCCCCCATCTCCTAGCTGCTTCCAGATAGGTCTGCTTCTCTTGCTTTCTAGGACGTCCTTGTGAGAAATAACGGAATGAAGTATTGGACCACAATGAACAAGATCAGTGACAGAATAGCAGATATGTGTTTTAAAAGTGGATAGGAGCCAAAGAGTACATTAAAGAGACTCCTCATTCACAAAGACACAATATGAGAATCTTAATAGGAGACCATATTTTGGTACACATAGATCTATGTGTCATTGGGTTGATATGCACTACTAGATCCTTTGCTAGGGTGTCAACATTTCTCCATTCCCTGACTCCGTGTTACCAGTTTCTCCTTTTCCAGGTTGGCTACCAGGCCTTTGCCAGCATCTTTCACAAAAGACCACATTCTCCCCCAAGGCCCTAGAGTTCCCTGGAGAACATCAGTCCTTTTCAGTTTCCCATAATATTTCTAACTGTAGTTTAGCTTCTCTTGTTTTGATGAATTTGGTTTCATCATGCAGAGCCACAATCTTTTATTCTGGAGCAACACCAATACCCCTCATTCTGAATCTTGAGGATTTTCTTTTTCCTGGTGTCTGTGACGATGTGTATAATGCTCAGGTGTGGACACATCTTGGTCACAGGATGCTCCTGCATTTTTCTCTTTTTTCTCATAGGATGAAACTGGTGAAAATGAATAACATTTCGCTAGAGCCACCTTTGAACAGCTATTGACATGTTCCTTGTATCTTTGTAGAGAAGTCCTCCCATTGCCTAACAAATTCATTCTAAGAGCAAGAGATCTGTGAATGTTTAACCATCCCAAACCCCTCCACTGTCCATTCTGATACCCAAGCACAGACAAACTTTCCAGTCAGCAGTGGATTATTGCATGAACTATCTGCTACCATTGCCACAAGTGCAGATGCCCAGAAAAATGAAGTTCTTCCATAATGGCCCAGTCTGATGCAGAGGACACTGAACACCATGGCCTTTCGGGCCACATTATACCATACAGGTTACTCAGTGAGGTTCCTCCATGAACCAAGTCTAGACCAGCAGACTGGGACTGACTGCCCTGGAAGAGGGTTGAGCGGGCAGCACCAAAACAATACAGAACTCAAACTTTATCTACCTTGTCCTTGGCATTTCCTTCCTGTACTTAAAATTCTTCTTCTGTGGCTCCAGATGGCCCACCCAAGGCTCTATGCACATCTTTCTCACCTGGAAAGGTCTTGTTGTCATCGGCTATATGGGGCCAGACCTTTGCCCTGTGCTCACTCACCCCTGTATGCACATACTTCAGAGCATGCCTGGCTACATTAGGGGCTCAGTTGGCCATTAAAATTTATTGGAAAAGATAAATGAATGGACATTTGGATTAAGGAAACAATGAGAAATACTGAAAACCCCCAAAAGAGGGTGACAGTCTCCTACCTGGTTATATGGCACATGGATGCAAAAGAAAGACAAAAAGAGAATTGTACAATTGAGGAGCTCTGGGATGACCCAATGCTCTCCATGGAACAAAGGGCTAGGAGTCCAGAAGCTCATGGCTTTTATTGGTATCAATTGTGGAGGTGAGTGGGTCTCAAAGTAGAGTGCCAAGGAAGAGAAACTTTGCAGGTACTGGCTATATAGAGAAACATAGCACTTTTGCACCAGGCACTGAGGCTCTCCACTTGTTTGAGATCAACCTCTGTAACACAGCAGGACTTCCTCTAAAAATAGGAATTCACAATTCTACCCAAGCTGAGGTTTGCATTACTTTGTCATTGTGAAGGGTTTCACCCTGATGCCTTCCCTATGATCCATTTGGGCAGCAATGGGACATGGCTTGGATGCCAATAATCACTGAACTTGGAATTGAAACCAGGACTCTAAAACTTGGTCTTGTATTGACGCATTGGTTACACTTCACTTCAGAGTTAGCAATTCCTCATTTCTATAAGAAAGTAAAAGTTATACTGGTGGATATCCGAAATCTTTTCTGCCCCTAATTATTTGTGATCCTTCATTCTATAAAGAGAATGGGCCAGGCAGGGACTCAGCAAATGGAGGAACAGACACATCCATCTCTCAAGAAATAACATGATTAAAGAAAGCCAAAGACTTCAATTTATCCAAAATAAAATAGTACAGGTTTTCTTAGAGCCATGTGAGTCAACCAGTGAAACAACTTCTTTTCTTTGCCTGGGATTAAGGGTCACCAATCCTTTGGATTAAACAAGTTCTAAAGATTATGAAATCAAACTTTTCTGACCTCTATTTTAGTCAATTTGTGATGTAATTATTAACTAATTTAATATTTATTTTGCAAGTTACTGATTCGATTGAATCATTGCATCATGGCATATAACCAGGAAATATTGGAGCTCAGTTGATGTGAATATCTCTCTTGGAGGACAGGTTACAAGATGCAGGGGACGTGGTTCTAACCTCAGTACTACCATTTGCAGCTTCCATGTCCTTGGTCAAAGCATTGAATCTGTGCTTTAAAATCTGTAGCTCTAAAATGGCAATATTTTTACCTTAAAGAAGAGGAAACACTCCAAATGGATGCAATTAGTATCAAAATTCTTTGTAAATTGTCAAGAGTCTTTGTCAATATGATTGACAAAACACTATGAATTTGGGGTCTTGACAAAAATCTCATTTTTTTCTTCCCCTTGAAATAATTATAGCAGTCCAGCATTATTCACAATAGCCAAGCTATGGAAACAACTTAATTACCCATCAGTAGATAAATGGATAAAGAAATTGTAATATATATATATATATATA